AAACAAATGCAGGATAAACTGAACTCGCACCGATATTTAGAACCCTATAACCTTATAAGCTCAATATTAGTTCAAATGTTTTTAGTATCCCAAACTCAATATCTGCGAGCACGTGTAGATAGGTTTAGTTGGTGTACCAGGTTCAAACATTTAACTGACGAAACTGAAAGAACCTACAGAGTTTCACAGCCAAACATATCTTAGCTTCGTTCAGATTGAACAATATTATCTTAACTGGACGCACATATTATCTGACTGGGAAAGGATCAAACATATACAAAAATGGAACGATTTATCAAATGAGAAGAGCAACGATTGCCATTTGCTTAGGTTGATCGATGTTTATTGAACGTATTTGTGCCGCCTGATGTTCTTATAAGATTTCCCATTTGAAACCTGCTTTCAAAAGTATTAAAACTCACATATTAATCATGGTTCTAAAATCTGCAAAAACATGCAAAATTTGTTAATTAGTAATATTAAGAGAAAAACAATTATATGCCGCTAGTATAATATGCAATATATATTTTAATACGAATAGATTTAATTTTGATAGATGAACAACCAATAGTCATATACTTGAAAAAACAAAGACGGCATTTTTATATATGAGAACACGCAAGATAATCATTAATTTGCGAGTAAAAAACAAAAATGCATCAGAAAGTATCTAAGACTGAGGCTGGTAAATCGGAATGAGTAATGCAGGTTTAGTATTTGTAGTAGGATTAATTCTAACATGAAGGCATCACAGGTTAATTCTCAAGTATATTATATGGCAACAAAAAATATATTTCAAGGCAGAAAGACCCATTGGATCGACAGCCTTTTCTATAGGAAATAAAGATTATTTATAATTATTTCCAGTTGACTTTATCACTAAATTTTAGAAAATAGCTAGTAGTTTCAAAAGCCCATTTTGAGAGTGTAGACGTTTTAATGTTCAGTTTTCAGAAATTAACTGAACATACTTTCATTCTTAGAAAACGAAAAAGGACTGTGAACAAATATTTAAATTTCAATGAACAAATACTTATATTTCGAATATATCAGACTTAACATGACAAGAAACAGTTACGTTGTGTCGGCTGAATTGTTTTCCGGACTTACTTATTTACTTTACGCCTAAACGTTATTGAAGACTTCCGTGTGTTTTTCCGATTACTGGTTCTCAAGCTGGTTCTCCTGGTACATTTCCAGTATTTCCAGGACCATTCTGTGCCTTGGTAACAGCGGTGGAGAGAGACTCACAAGGAGCGCGTCGGTTAAGACATCACCGAAGCACAAAGAAAGCAAAAAAAGTAAAATCATAAACGCTTCCACTAAAAGGGCCAGTGCAGCAGGTATAGCTTATGCAACTCTTGAAGGCATGGCTTAAAATTTTAGGGAATTTAGACTATAATTTCACTCACACCTCATTCTGGGCAGGTTATAGAAAAAAACGTGAAGTACGAGCAAACTGGATGTTTTAAGTATCCGGAATCTTTCTCACAATTCATAATGCACTTCAACGTATTTATTTAAATTCAGCTGGTTTTGTGCTCTGTTTCTAAAATCGGCAATCCGACTTGTTCTACTCGGATAGTTTTGATGCAGACACCAAAAAGTGGTGTCTGGATCAAAGTCAAGGGTTTTTGTAATCAGGTTCTTTAGTCTTCTTCTTCCATGACCTTTAACTCCACGCAATATTTATACAGCCTAGTTACTCAGGTAACAATGCACTTAGAAAATGAAGTCAGCCCTAAGCTGATTTTAATCAGACTAAGTAAATATAAGTTAGTAAGATAATTAACACCTAAAATTTACTGTTAGGAAGCGGCCGAACATTGTAGACAACAAAATTCGAGAGAACTGGATGGCTACATATTATATATTGGCTCTGTACTGAAACGCATGAAATTCTTCTGCCAAGAATATTTTAGAAATCTACTGGCAGTTTGTTCTCCAAAGGCAAAACAGTGATTTTCAGAAAATTAAATTATTTAATAAGTAGATATAAATAATGATTTTTGAGCTCTTGATTTTAACATTGATAGCAATGTCAAAAATTATTTTATTTGCTCGAAACTCAAGTAAAATTAATTGCTACGCATAGTTGCTCAACACATTATATTTTTGTATGTTTTTGTAATTTCGTTTTACAAATGTTTGTACATTTTCATATCTTCGTATGTTTAATTAAGTACTCCTGATGTGACACCTTTAATCTTGACTGGATTTTAAAATCAAAAAATCATTGTAGACATTGAAGCCGCGCTAAAATTGTTCAGGCGGTTTCTTGAGTAATATTCCTAAGTGGTATATTAAATCTTCTCTAAGTCGGAACACAACACACCACAATGGCTGTGATGGGGAATTTTGGCATCGCATCTTTGAATCACTACATAATTTTGGAATTTCAATATTTAGAAGAAAAATATTCGTGATGTAAAGCTGCAACAATTTTGGCAAATATTTTCATTGATTATAGTTCCACGATTCCAGTTTTATTAATGAAGTTTGGTTTTATCTGATAGTTATGACATGGTGTCGGTTTGTTTTCCTGTGCTACGCTTTTAGGCAACATTATGTTCGGCACTAGATATATGTTAATAAATTACAGTGAATAATCTATAGCGTAAAAATAGATTCCATCCAAAAACTCTCTAATATGAAGTCCCAATTCTGTGGCTTGTAGAACAATATTAGCATTCTGACTCATAACGGTCTGTATTATAACAATGTTAATTAATTATGATGCTAATTATAAGGAAGTATGATGCATTAGCACATTTATCTTCTTTATCAATGCGTTATTATCTCACTTATCAAATGCAAATAGCTGTCGCTCTGTCGTTCTCCCTCTAAATCGATTTGCTATATAAACATTTTCCTGAAATTAATTTCCGACTTGTAACTACTTCAGCTGTCTAAAATTTGCGAATTTGGTTTTTAGCTTTATAAGAAAAGTAGTAATTTTAAGTTTAAATTAAACCGATGTCCTGAGAGTTTTTTATTCGATACAAAACCATACAAAGTTTTAAAGCCTGATAAAATGAGATCAAGAGGTCCTCTCTCAAGAGAAAATTCAATGAGATATTTTGAAATTACATTCTGAAACAAGTAATTTTGCCCAAACAATATATTTATTACACTGCAGATAATACGCAAGGTTCATTATTCCATAATTCTACATCCCGGTTGTATCACGGAAATAGTTTTAGTGGAAGATAATACTGGAGGTGTCCGTTCGTTGAGGCGAGAGCAGAGCGCAGAGGTCAACGCTCTGATAAAACAAAGCCAAGCGATCATCTTATACTCCTTTGTAAAAATGGAAATTAAGCGGAAGAAAATTGCCCAAAGCTCATCAATGTTCCGCTTCGTTATGGAGTAAAAAAGGCAACGGAAAAAATAAACGGAATCGTATCTTATTTAATGCGTAGCAACTTTCGACCTGATGCAACCACTGAATCAACCGGTAGTTCTATTTTAGTTTCAGGCAAAAACTCATGACCCTCAAGTACCAAAGTACGACTTATGACATGTTCCACGTTATAAAGTTAAATTCGGATCAGGCGTTTGACTTAGTACACTAATGGTACTTACCAATCATTGGCTCGCAATTATTTCTACATTACTCGTTCAACTTGGAAAGGGACGGGTTTAGTAAGCAAATGCAAGCAAATAGTAAGCATGTGCTTATAAAATTGATTTCTTACACAATGAAACTTTGGAGCTTTTAACTCTTAGAAACAATGTAGCAACTTTATTATCTATTTTCTCAGAAGGGGCCCTTGACAAATATATATATTTAATAGCTCGAAAAATCTTCTATCTCATGCATGATTATGTTCAGAGCTTGGGAACCTTCATAATTGATTTTTTATATTATTCTCTTCTTATTCTGTAGCATTTTCAATTGGATCATCGTTTCTGATGGTTTCAGCACTATGCTGATTCCCTCAGCAAAAACACATGGTGTTTAGAAAGCCTAAAACCAAACTAGATTTGTTATAACAGCAGCATAATAACTTATTTGTCAGTTTAAACAGTTATTTTGTTGAAACTGCAATCCAATACCCCGTGATAACTAGAGCGGTCCCCGATAATTTCTCATTTTTTTCCATTAACTCCTATGGAATATCAATATTTATATTTAAAATTTACAACATAAAAATGTTTTCCTGTGAAAAGTTAGTATCATTATAACAGAAGCAAAAACTCGCGTTTATTAATAAAACTTCTTTTATTGATTTCATTTCTTCGTCACATATTTTGTCTATCAGTTTCTTAAACGTTGATTAATTTAACATAAAATAGGCAACAAAAATATAAAGGGGAAATAGTTATAATCATAAAGAATTTATTTTTCAGTTTTCATTTACTGGAATGTTTCAGATGTTGAAAATGTACAAAATGCAATGATTTTCAATTAGTTGCCTAGCATGTAACTCTAAGAATTTCCCAACAAACTGTGGCAAGAAAGAAGCAAGAGTCAATATCTCATGTTGACATGTCACTTTCCTCTCAGTGCCTTATTCATTTCCTGTTATGTGTTCAAACGTGAGGCCGGAGAATATAGTCAAGTCAGAAATTTACATTTAGACAATATAGTGGGTATCATTCGTATAATGAATACAATTTGAAAAAAGTTCCGTCGCTTGTTTGCACCAGAGCTAAAAAGTAAATTAACTTGTCATTCTCCGTTTTCCTAAATGGGTTTTTTTTGTGTCGCGGTCTCACCTAAAGTTACCGTGCAATTATAATTTACTCTTTGGTTATGAAGCGTTAATTTATCAAAGAAAAGTATTTACAGGAGACAGACGCAATATTATATTTAAGTCTAATACTAGAAGTAAGTTTAATTAGGAAAAAGTCTCGACAGCCGATCGAGTACATCAATAAAGCTTGTGTAAAGTATGATAGATATTTTGTTGCAAATGCGGAAAAGTTTAAAGCGTTTGATGGCTCGTTGTATGGCTCGCAGTTGAGCGGGGCTCAACAACGGCAGCAGGACTAACCGGTGATAATAGCTTCCATCAGAGAGGATTTGTCTCGGCCGGTCTGTTCCATCTAAATCCCGACGATATAACAATAAATCTTTCGCACTATCTGTATCTCGAGCTCCAACTTTAGCTTCCCACTTGTCACTCGGTGCTCCTCGCGAACGAACAATCGTTTTCGCATCTTTTAACTTTTCAGATAAGTAAGATTCATCGTCCTTAAAAGCTGGGCTCCACCTATTATTTCAACCAATCTCGACGAAAATTATACTATTTCAATGGGTAATTGTATGTCAAGCTGCTCCAAGTTTGATATTCGAATTACCTGTTAATGATAGCTTAAACTTTACCACCTTACTCCATTAATATTATATGTTTCACTCCGTATTAGACAAACTGCAAAGTTCATATTATTTCTCCAAATATTGCACCAGTAATTCGCTAATGGATCAGATATATATATATAATATTTTCTCGCACAAGAATCAACCATAAGAAAAATTGGTAACTGTTTTGTAACTTATGCTAGTCGTGCCAGTTGGCAATTAAAAGCAAGTCAATCAAACAATTTCGCTTAATCGGTAAATAAGTTCTAAATTGACATAACTACATATCGTAGTTTTGCAGAAAAATTAAACTGTTTTATTTAGGAAAGTATATTTATTTGTCAATTCTTTCAAAATATTTTCAACCTTACATAAAAAAATCGAGTTTTGAAAATCGTGGATTTCCAGGGTACCGTGGCCGGAGTGCCGTCTGAAATGTGTCAATCGTTCGTTATCAATTTGTACACAATTCGAAAGCAAATCTTTATCGCGTTTCAACCTATTTCCACTTTATGAGCCTATTTTGTTCTACCATAGTCCAAGTTAATGAAATTTCGAAGCTCATGCAATATTTTGTGACCCTATTTTCAAATTAGTAAAAATAGGTCTAAATCATATATTTCCAATACTACTTGCAGCAGTGATACGAGCATGTTGAAGATATAAAGTACTTCTTGTCAATTCTACTATACTTCAAAAGCAACTATTAATTCACTGCCCAATTTTCTGATTATTTGTAGCAAGTTTTATAATCAATCGTCAAATATTTTCAGGTAGAAGAATATTCCCAGGAAATACAGGAAGTTTGGAATTAAATATCTCAATTTAGAAACTTCCATATTTTATCTTTAAATTACCACCCTAACGTGGTCATCTCCCAGTGGAATTGAATCATATTATTTATATTGCAATCACGGAAACCTCACTCTAAATTCTAAATGTAACTAGGTAACAATACAGGTAATCAAATAAATAAAGTTTGAAATTAGACATATTGTGTAAGAAGTTCTAAAGTAGTAGTAATGATCCAACTAAAAATTTTAATAAATAACGGAAAAATAAAATAATAGTTTATAGTGAAGTTAGTATTTATTGTCAATAAAATGTATTTTCTTCTACTTATTATTAGTAATTAATTGACTTCAAAATATAGATTAGAAATGTTTGCTTAAACCGTATCAGAACGATTCGATAAAATACGGCAAGCTTGTAATGAAAGAATTATATTAAAAAAGTTCTCTTCTAGAATTTCTTGATGAAAAGTCAAAGCGGCAATGATGATTTTTGTCATCAACAGATAGTTGCAGGTGGATAGCCCTTGTCAATAATAACAATAATTTGTCAAACAGTGACTTACTTTAAATTTCCTTTCACGAATTTTTTGGATATGCGATTAGTTCAGGGGAAATGCTGCAATAACATAGCAGAAGCTGAAAGAACTCACTCCAACAAACGAGGCGAGGAGAGTGGTTTCAGGAAGATAGTGGACGACAATAGATGTTCGGGTTCTCGACACAGGGGAACAATTATTAGACATAATTGCAGAACAGCCTTTCCGAGGCACTCAGAACATTGCGCAGCAACTAACACTTTCCCAGGCACCAAATTAAACACCGCCTACATTCCTACCACGCATGTAAGATCACATTAAACCAATGGATTACTGAACACCGCTATAAATTGAGCATTAGTTAATTAACCGAATACGGGAAGCTGCTCGAGATGATTGCATAATAACCAAACAACACAGGCACTTGTTTGGAGTTACAGGCGCAAATGTATGTTTTTGTAATTTGTAAACAAATTAATAATTCGAGGTTATGAGTTTCGAAATAGGTTCCGTCATTCACCGATTCTGTTGAATTTTCCGTTTATTCTTGTCTATCTTATTGGTTTTAAATAATTAGGAAGCAACAGGTATTTACGTAATGTTAATTAGGCAGACTCCCTTCAAAAACATTGTTGCCGTTTTTCTAATATAGTTTTTTGCAAATTTCTCAGTTTTTAATATCAATTAATTGTTTTTACTATTTTTGCTGTGCTCCTAAAACACCGCCAGACAACACCTCCAGAGTAACGACGCCAATTTTGAATCACTCTGTGTGTATGGCAATCACGGAAACCTCACTCTAAATTCTCAATGTAAGTAGTTAACAAAACAGTGAGTTAAATCAATAAAGCTTGAAATTAGTCATATTGTGCAAGAATTTCTAAAGTAGTAGTAATGATCCAACTAAACATTTTGTCAAATAACGGAAAAATAAAATAATAATGTGAAGTTAGTATTTATTGTCAATAAAATGTATTTACTTCTACTTATTACTAGTAATTAAAGGACTTCAAAATATCGATTATAATTTAGAAATGTTGATTTAAACCGTAGCAGAATGATTCGATAAAATACGGAAAAATTGTAATGGAAGAGTTTGGCAGGCCAGATTTGTGGTACAATCAGCTGTGAACACAGTACTTGCAATCAATAATAGAAAAATTTACAAATGTGCATTCTAAAAAAATTAATGGTGATACTATCGTGGTTGAAGTAAATAATATTTTTAATTCTTTCACGCGAAATTGTAAGTAACATATTAGTTGAACACTCGGCTACTGTGACGAAAGCTATCTTATCTAAAAAACAATAGTATCGGGAGCTTCGCATTTAATACTGAATAACACATATTAAAACACCAAAATAATAGTAAAACACGCCATAAATATGTGCAAACTACTAAAAAACAACATTAAATGGAAAAAATTAGACCGTTTTAAAAAGAAAGTATTTATTTGTCAAGATATTATTATTTTCTATATCCGGTATGGATTAAACCTTGCAGTTTTCGTCGTTGTGGTCCTGGATTTACATCTTGAGCTCTCCGTTTTCTTATGGTACGACTTTACTTGCCTAAGCGAATACTTGCTTTTGGCAATTGTTACAATCTTCTGTCTATTCGTACCAAACAGCATGGCATGCTCATCTCTGCTGATGCTGGCAGCCATTCCAGGCCTGGTAAACCGTTCCATAATTTCTTGCTCTTCATCTCGCTTTGCTTTCTGGACCGTCTTCTTTAAAATTGGGTCTCCTTCGACAACTCGTTCGAAAAGTGGAGAACTTCTGGCTGCTGCCAACAATGACGAGGAATCCAGGAGTCTTAAAATAAGACACCACATTTCCACAGGCAAAGTGGAAAATACAGCGCTAAATACACTAACTAGCGGAAGAAGTTGATACATCTTTAC